CTAGAGAAGAGCCTAATGCTGGGAACAATAGATGGCAAAAGAAGGAGACAGCAGAGGATCAGGTGGCTGGATGGGGTCACTGGGGTGGTCGGTGTGAGCTTGGGTGGACTCCGAGGGATGGTGGAGGACAGGAAGGCCTGGAGGAGTGTTGTCCATGGAGTTGCAATGGGTTGGACACGACTTCACAACTAACAACAACAATATTCTCTGACTGGCAGCAGCTCTCTGGTAAAGTTGTAGACACTGGTATGTCACTGTGCGAACTGAATGCTGGACTAGATGGACACTTGGTTTTGACCCAGCATGGCTCTTCTTGTATTCCTATTTAATGATGGGACTTCTATTCAACAATAGCTTCACAATGCTATGGAGTGTTAAATGACATCTATTTTGCTGATAGATTTTATTTTTTGGCTTGGCAATAGTGGCCACCTTCCAAAGTTACACTTTCTCGCTCAATGAGTTGCCAAAAACCACAACTGACTGGGTACACTGCCTATCAATGCGCTCATTTGACAATGCAATGCTCTCAGGCATACAACGGTGGCAATAATACATTCATTTCACTTCCTTCATTCCATTTAGGTGTGAATAAGTTTCCATATCCCCTGTTCTGATGCTGTGAGTGCAGGTCAGTTATTGCTAGTTATTTCTATTATGTTGCGATTATTTTGTCACTGAAGCAGTTGGTGTGAGCTTGAATGGACTCCAGGGGATCGTGGAGGACAGGAAGGCCTGGAGAAATGTTGTCCATGGGGTCGCTATGGGTCGGACACGGCTTCGCGACTAACCACAACCACATTTTATTTGTAATGTGCATTTGTACCTATGCAGCTTGATGCTCCTACAGAAAAGGCACAACAGTGGTCAGGAAGAGCTCCAGTGTGAGGTTGTGCTAACAGCATCCTTTGATAGGCATTTCTATGGAAGCATAAGGATGCGTAAGATGCACAACTGCATCTTCAGGATGTGAACCATGCCCTCCACCCAAATGTGGGGGCTTATGTGCAGCCCATTCACGACCATCTAGATGAAGCACGGCACAGAGGAAGGAAAGAAGGCACAGGCGCTGTTTGGATCGGCATACACCATCAGCCCCACTCTCCTCCCCTGCTCCCCACCACACCCCTTTAGTCCTCTCCGAGGCTGATTTCTGACCTCGAAGAGGCAGCTGGTGTGATTCTTTCTGTGCTGGCTGCGAGGGTGAGATCCACATTTGGAATACTAACTCTGAGGTCATAGGACCCTGAAAAATCCTATGCCTTCTCCCAACAAGGTTGGGTGGGGGGGGCCCTAGGAATTGTGCCCTTCGTTGCTTTATCAGGATTTGTTCATTTTAGGGATGTGCAAATCAGCAAAACTTGAGCTCAGTGAAGTTCTGTGAATCTTGAAGCTTGACTTGACTTGAGTCCATGCCATATTATGAGCTTTCCTACTGTTCTTTTCATGTGAACATCTGCGTGCATTTTCATGTGTGCCCTTCCCAAAAAGGAAAATTACACATTCCCCTCCCATCAGTTAAAGCAGCCTTGTGTGTATCTTTCAAAAGCATATGCTTTAGCAAAAATAAATTAGGAAATGAAATTCCAGTGACAATGACAAAGATCTGCAGTAATTTTCTGCATCAGATGCTTAACAAGTTAGTAGACTCACGGTTTAGTAAAGGCAGCTTCTGCTAACTTGGGGAGGCTGGGGCTGAGGAGGACGTGGGGGACAACCCGCCCGGGATCTCCAGCCTGGGGCCAGTTGCAGCCAAGGGGCAAGGGCCAAGGCATGGCTGTCCACTGCCCCCGGGAAGAGGCAGGGCAGGTGATCGTTGTCGGGGGCTCCCTGCTAAGGGGCACTGAGGTGGCGGTGTGCTGCCCTGACCCTGAAGCAAGGGAGGTCTGTTGCCTGCTTTGTGCGTGCATCCGGCACAGGGCAGACAAAGGAGAGCGTCTTCTTCCCTTGCGGGGGTCACCAACTGCTTCTGGTGGTTCACATGGGGATGAACAGTGTGGCCAGGCAAGGGGTGGGTGGGATCACTAGGGACTTTCAAGCTCTGGCAAGAAACTCAGGGGCCTAGTGGACTTTTCCTCTTTTCTGCTGGTCCAGGATTTTGGGCCAGCCAGGGGAAGGAGGGTTGTCAAGGTGAGGGACTGACTCAGGGTGTGGTGTCAGAAGGAACACTTTGGGTTCCTTGACCCCCAGCACCCGGTTTCTTGCAAATGGACGTCTGGCGAGGGACAGGGTGCACCTCACGAGGATGGGGACAAGGGCCTTCAGAAATGCTCTAGTGAGCTTCATCCGGAAGACTTTAAACCAGGGGTCTCAAACTCGTGGTCTGCGGGCCAATTGCTGGGACTGGCAGGGCACGGGGAGGGGCCCTGCGGCCTTCAAAGCGCCGGTGGCGCCCGGGCCGGCCTCCGGGAGCGAGGCAGGATGAGCGGCCCACCACCACCGCGGTGGTGGAATACTTGATGTGGCCCAGCCTCACACAGACTCTACTTCCAGCAGCCCCCCGGTAAGTTGAGTTTGAGACCCCTGCTTTAAACTGAGCCAGGGGGATGTGGGGTGAGGCCCCCCAGAAACTTGTCCTAGTTAGACAAGTGAGGGGAGAGGACCAGGGTTTTGGGACCAGGATGTTAGAAGTACTGCAGGAGCTGGCAGGACTCCTAAGAAGAGGGGGCCAGTATCAGGGAAGATGAGAGGAAGGAGGGGGAAAGGGGACCCAAAGAAAGGGATCTGTGGGAGGGAGCTGAGGTGCATGTACACCAATGCCAGGAGCATGGGTAATAAGCAGGAAGAGCTTGAAGCTCTCCTGGGAATAGGAGGGTATGACCTGCTGGGGATCATGGAAACTTGGTGGGATGTAAGACTGGAATGTAAACATTGAGGGGCATGTCCTGTTTAGAAAGGACAGGAAGAGAAAGAGGGGAAGGGGCATAGCATTATATGTCAGGGAAGGGATAGGATGCAATGAGATAGAAGGTGGTGCAGATGGGGATCTGGTAGATGAGGTCTGGATAAAACTAAAGGGTTTTGACATTGGGAGGGACCTGACAGTGGGAGTATGTTATCGCCCTCCATGTCAACCTGAGACCCTGGACGATGCCCTGACAGACCAGATTTGAAGGGTATCTTGGGGGAGGGACAAGGGACAGGTCACATCACTTCCTAGAGTCTATAGAGGGAGGTTTTTTCACACAATACCCAGGAGGCAATGAGTGGGGTAAATATCCTTGCCTTGGTCTTGAGCAACAGGGAGTTGCTGATAGATGGGGTGCAGATTAGGGGACTCCGGATGCGAGTGATCACTCCATCCTTTGCTTTGAGATCAGCCTACATGGTGGGCATCTCGTGAGTGGAGCTGGCTGGTGCCAGAGGTCAGACTAGATGGCCCAGGAGATCTCTTCTGACTCGCTCTGTTTTCTATGTTTCTATCAGGGAATGGGGACAAGTGTCAGGTTGAGTACTAGAATCTGGGGCTTCACGAGGGCCAACTTGGACAACTGCAGGCCAGGCTGCGGAAAGTCTCCTGGGAAAGGGTACTGGAGGGCAAGGGAATTCAGGAGAGGCGGGTGGCACTCAAAAGGGATGGCACTCTTCGCAAGGCTAAGGCTGATGATGAGCTGAGACTTGCCAAGAACATCAGGAGCAACAAAAAGGGCTTCTATCAACATGTAAATAGCAAGAGGAAGGGGAGACAGGCGGTGGGACCGCTTAATAAGGAGGAAGGAGATTCAGTGACTGATGTGAAGGAACAGGCACAGACGCTAAATGATTATTTTGCCTCTGTGTTCTCCCCAAAGCAGGACGGGGAAGATCTACATGGGGGACTGGATGATACCAGGATCAGGGCACAGATTAGAGTCACCCCCTCTAGAGGTTGAAGAGCTCCTCAGGGCAGTGGACATTACAAAGATGCTGGGCCCTGATGGGTTACACCTAAGGATATTTTGGGAGTTGGCAGGGGTACTCTCATGCCCATTGGCCTCCATTTTTGAGGCCTCGTGGAGAATGGGTGAAGTTCCAGAGGACTGGAGGGTGGTGTCGGTGGTCCCAATTTTCAAAAAGGGTAGTAGAGGGGACATGGGGAATTACAGACCAGTTAGCTCTATATCCATTCTAGGAAAGACAATGGAAAGACTCATAATAGCAAGAGATCTAGTAACCCTAGATAGGGAAGAGAGGTTGGCGGCCATGCAACACGGCTTCCACAAAAACAGGTCCTGCCAGACAAACTTTGTGGAATTCTATGACAAGGTTTTGAGGTGGATAGATGAAGGGGATGCAGTGCATATGGTTTATCTACATTTCAGCAAGGCCTTTGACAAAGTGCCCCATGATATCCTGGTTGAGAAATTGAGGAGTTTGAGGGATTGACTGACACCCTGTCCAATGGATTAGGGCATGGTTGATGGACCGAAAGCAGAGGGTAACTATTAGTGGAGAATCATCAGGATGGTGGCCAGTGACAGTGACCAATCCTGTTCAATATTTTCATTGATGACCTGGAAAAGGGGGTGACCAGTCTGCTGATCAAATTCGCAGATGATACTAAAATGGGGCGATGGCCACAGCTAAGGAGCAGGTACTCCAGATCCAAAAGGATCTGGACAGACTATGGAAGTGGGCAGGAGACAACAGGATGGTGTTCCATGTGGATAAGTGCAAGGTCTTGCACTTGGGGCATAGGAATAGGTGTCATAAGTACAGGTTAGGTGACAAGTGGCTGGAGAGCAGCACTTGTGAAAGGGATCTTGGGGTGCTGGTTGGCTGCAGTCTAAACATGAGTAAGTAACACTGTGGTCAAGAGGGCGATTGATTTAGGGGTTTAAAATTCTGTCTTCCAAATAGTACAGGCAACTTAAATAGTGCTGTTGACATCCAATATCCTAAAAGATCCAGCTAACTAATACCCAGTATTTTCAAAGGGTAATGAAAATCAATAACAAACAATCTCTTTCAGTTGAACCAAACAATCAAAACATCCACATTTTGAGATACGCATCTGTTCATTATTTTTATTTATATTTATATTAGTAATGTGAAGCAATCAGCATTCACAAGGGTTCACAAGGGTTCTTCCTCATGGCTGCTGTCAAGGCACCCAAAATCAGCAACAACAGCAAAAAGCATAGTCACAAGACCCCTTCGCACACCCAAACACTCCGTAAGAAGTACTTTGCAGTTCACATCCACAATCTGATTGGTAAGAAGGCAGTGTAGTTTGTAGATGAAAAGCACAGCAGCTGGCATTATGAGTTCTTCTCAGGTTTGCAAATCTAGAAAAGATGAAATGACTGGAAAGCTCTGAAACGACATTTAAGAATTGAAATGTGTGTGGGAAATCCATTTCTGCTCATTTGTTGACTAATAATGCCAGGACATCATGAGAAGAAAGACGCACTGGAGAAGGCAATCATGCAAGGAAAAATCGAAGGGGGGAGGAGGGGGGAGGGTGACCAAATTCTATAAAGGAAGCCACGGTCTTGAACTTAGGAGAACTGAGCAGGGCTGTCAAAGGCAGCCATTTTGGAGGACATCCATCCACATAACTACAACCGCAGCACAAGAACATAACTGCAAGGGGAATTATACCCTATGTTCCAGGACTGACAGCTGATCAGTATACTTGGATTTTCACTAAGAGAGGGCCATTTCTATAGGGCATGCCGGAATGCTAGCCGGAGCCTCAGCTATGCCTTTGGGGGCTCATCTGATATAGTGTGGAAATTTCCCTTCAGTGCTGGTTTGATAAGAATTTACCAAAAGTCACTATGTTCTCCACATTTGAGACAAAGGGAATTGGAGTTGGGTTTTTTAATGGAAATGTGGAAGAAAACAAACTGAAAGATTTGTCTATCTAGGCGTTGTGCTTTGACTGATAAACTCTCAACTGTCTTGGTTTGGGTTCCTGGGTATTCAACCTTGTTGGAAGCCCTAGCCATGGAGCAGGAGGGATGCGCAACACAAAATGTATATCTGAGCAACTACATCTTAACATGTCCTTTGCAATAGGTGGCTGGCATCGTATGCTTTGCTTTCCCTTCTCGGTGCTCCTGCGCTCGCATCTCAGTGTTTGTGGATGAACCGGCAAAGAGTCGATCCGCACTGGAGCAGAGGTAGCATCCTCTGTACTCACCTGCATGTTTTTCCTAGATGAGATGACTATATTTCTGGTACCTGGAAAAACAAAAGGCAGGCAACCCTCTCAGAGCAAGAGTCATGTATGAAAGTTGATGCTCATAATCCATGGGGGAAAGGCTCTTGCTGCAAAAAGGAGTTGTAATTTCCACCTTGTAAGTCTCCTGCTAAGCCTGATGAGGCTTCAAGACTGGGAAAGGTGGGAAATAATAGGAAATAGATACTCACTTCCTTAGATTCTGGTTCTAGATCCACCTGAGTAAAGAAGAGAAAAAGAAACAATGTCTCATATTGTTGTTGTGTCTTGTCCAACTCTCTGTGACCCCATAGACCACAGCTCACCGCACTCCTGCCCTCCACTGTTTCCCGGAGTTCACCCAAATTCCTGTTAATTGCGTGTGGTACCATCTAACAAACACCTCCTCTGCCGTCCCCTTCTCCTTTTGCCTTCAAGGGGTCGTATATTGTAGGATTCAAAAAGACAAAGACTGTTTCTCTGAAAGGACTACTCACCTGGGTCATGTTGGCTGCATTTTCTGCAGAAGACTAAACAAGAAAAGTGGGCAATTACTCTTAATTCAAAGTAATAGAAAGTTGCCAATATTATTAGTTGAGTAGAAAAATTCACCTGGTTCTCATATTCATTTGGATTCTGGAAACAAACAAACAAACAAATTAACAAATAAACCAGGAATTAGTCACATTTCAAGCTATCGTAAACTTGTGAGCCAGGACTCCCGCATCCTCCTTGATGATAAGGGATGCTGTTGACTCCATGTCCCTGGGACTCCTTATCCATGGCAATGTTTATTCTGTGCTTTACAGGAACTACCCAGCTTCCATATAGCTTGAAGTGCCCGATCCGGCTTAATCATGGACTCTAAGGAGGGCCAGGCCTGGCTGAAATCTGGATGTGAAACTTAAATCTTGTGAAACAGCCAGAGAGCTTCGGTCACAGGGCAGTATAGAACTGTAATGTAACAATAATTCTCTTGAGGAAGAACCTATTTTGGAGATGGATTGCAGCACCATAGATAGTTCCTATAAAGCTCAACATAACAGCTGGCATGGATAAAAAACCCCACAGGCACCGACATCACCTGCCCCTCCCTGTGCTGCCCTCCATGAGTTGGGAGAAAGGGTGTGCAAAGGATGGGATCTGATATCCAGGTCTTCTCCATCAGGTTTTAGTGCTACCCTGAAGGAGGATACCTGAAAAAAGCTACCGAAGAAAAATCATGTGTGTAAGAAAGCCACAGGGAGGCTAAGAACGAAAAGCCAAGAATCACTTCTGTTTCAGGATATCACACAAGTAGGTTCTTTTTGAAGAAAATAAATACATATTCTGGAAACCCTCCAGGAAGCTAAAAGGGAAACCACAGGGGGGGGGGGGGGGTTGGACCCAAATGGCCTTCTCGCCCTTTTCAACTCTGCTGTTCTATGGTTCTGCGAAAGGCTTATATTTCTCTCTTATACAAGAAATGCAAAACTTTTTTTGAGAAAATGAAAGGAATAAAAATCATTCTGAAAGCTAAAAGAGAAATGATAGGAAATGTTTGCTTTTCACAGGCATATACCTAGAAACAAATCCTGCTGTTAGAAAATAAAATGGATACTCACAAATGCTGGGAATGCCGGAAAAGGCTAAAAAAGAAACCACAACAATTGTTCTTATTACAATATTAGATAAAATTATTCAAAAGATGCACATCTCCTTCACAAGAAACAAATGAATCCTGTGTGATCATATGTAAGTGATGGTGGAACGAAGGAAGGAAGGACGGACGGACAGAAGGATTATTCATATTTTTTCTGCATTTATTCCATCTTTCCTCTCTTAAGAATTTTTTCTTTCTGTTTAGGTGTGGGAAACACTATAACTGGTAGACTGTGACAACTGCTTCCTTGTAGTGAGTGTAGCTGTGCAGTTATGCAGTGCAACACACCTGGCAGCACAGCCAAAAGACTAAGCAAGGCATCACACCATCGATGCAATTAGCGAATGCACGTGTCTTTTTAGAGAGTAGATTGTCAGTCTTAATCTGGAACAGATGGGGAGGGGGAAGGTTGGGGAGCCTGAATCCTTTGCTCCCACCGCTGTGCCAGTCCTGGTTGGCACTCCCACATCTACTATCTACATAAGAGAAGGGTGTTTCCTCTTTAACGGAAGCAGAAATGTAGACTCACATTTTTAAAGGAGTGGGGACAAACAGTTCTCAGAACCTCTGTCAAAAGCAGATGGAGCTCAAGCTCAGTTTTACTCCGGCACTCATTTTCCCAGTGTCCGGTTCATTCCATCCTGATTCCCCATAAATACACAACATGTTTCCAAGGTCCTCTTGAAAACACATGCATAGCTTTCTAATGTATGCATTTGTGTGGGGGCCTTTTCAAATCTACAACCTTTTCACATTGATTTAAAAAATGCTTTTGGTGTGCATTTTTTTCAACTACAGTGATTTTTGTGGCTGCACTATATCATGTGTGTGTACATTTGGCATATACTTTGGTCGGTGAGGTGAACTGCATCACAGTCTTCAGAAATGCACAGATTTCAACAGCAAACTGCATTTTTTGTGCTGAAGCACAGGATGCGCAAACCTGGCACATTTGCGCTGCAATATATATATTGAACAAACCTCTCAGATCTCCTGATTCAAAAGGGGGATATCAGAGAAGAAGATCGATCACACTTGTCTTACTTACTGGGTTGGGGAATGCAGGGCCGGGGTAAACAGCGGCACCAGGGGGAGGGGGGGGAGGACGGAAGTTGCCGTAGATGGGGCCACCCTATAAAACAGGGGGGGGGATAACATTATTGATATTGTTGCAAACATCTTTTTAAAAAACAAACCTAGTGGAAGCCCAAGTTCTTGCATGCATCCTAATCATTTCTGGACAGCTTTCATCTATGACCTGTGAGACAGATTGGGATGGGAGCCTGTGGCTGGCCCAAAGTCACCCAGTTGGTGCCACGGCTGAGCGGGGACCAGAACCCAGATCGTCCGAGTCCCAGTCCCGCACACGTAGCTGCTAGCACCACACTGGCCCTCATAGTTAGACAGTTATTATGATGGAAGGATCAGTAGATCAATAGAGATTACTTTGAAAAAGGTTAAAGGAGTTTCTAGTTCCATGACCGAAGACCAGGTATTTAGGATGCAAGTCCTGTGTTCCCCGGTCCGTTCACAACAGGTTTTCCTGGGCTCCATCATTACAGCACAATCTGAAGCAACACCTCTGGGGAAGCAGGAGTTGCATGGTAACCAGTGGGAGGAGGACCAGGGTGCTCATCTGTCTATCAAAAGGAGGCTAGGCAAAGAAAATGATCATACTCACTGGGCCGAAAAATGGGGGCGGAGGAGGACCAGGAGGGGGAGGACCGCCAAACATTGGATTACCATAGCCAGGGCCCATCTACAGAAATTAGAACACAAAGACATCCACTGTTCATTTTGCTTCCACAACAAAAGAACGGGAGGAGAATCTCCGTGGTACCTGCTTCAGCCTCAGCACGCCACCTACCTGGTGGCCGTACCTGGGTCTGCCCAAACTGCTGGCCTAGCAACTGCTTGCGGTGGGAGCTCCATCAGCAGGAGCAGCCGTTGTCTTCTTCAGCCCGTCCCCATCATGCTCTTCACAGGTGGCGAGGAAAGGAGGGAGGCTGCTCCGGCGCAAGCTACAGCTGCGTGTCTTCCCAGGAGCTTGGCACTGAGTGTGGCAAGCCAAGGACCAGCAAGGGAAAGGATGGTGGGCAAGGGGGGCGGGGGGGGGCAATCGCAATGTGTTCCTTATAGAATAACCAAGACAAGTGGGAAGGGTCAGCAGTGCTGCCGCCCAAAACAGGGCTACTGAGGTTATAGCTGTCACCACTAGCTTTGCAGAAGAACAAAAACTACTTGTTGGGGCGGGGGGGGGGGGGCTCTACCAGGGACCAAAATACCCAGTCCCAAATAGCTGATCATCATGGAATATTGAGCGTTTAATGGAAAACCTAAATGGAAAAGAGGGGGAGAAGCGTGGAAGGCTTGCTTATGCCTGTAACGGTTTAGAGGACCCTGCGGGAGGCCCAAGGCCAGGTACCAGGGCTCTGAAATGAGGGCAGTCTTATTAGTGTTGAGGTATCCATTTTGTTGCAACTCTCATATCTATTTATATGGGGGCAGGCTCACGGCCCAGAAGTCTGCAAAGGCTGAAACGTCCTTTGAGGAGGTACCAAAACCAGTCCATAGGCCTGCTAGACGGACCCATTCAATCCCCAGGAGCAGCCAATGCACCACAGTTCCAAGGAGTGAATGTCAGCCTCCGGGGCAAGGGCGGTTGGGCATCAGATCAGGGCACCAGAACCTGGTACGATATACGGGCCCATTCCAAATCGTAGTCAGGCCATCCAGAGATCAAGGTGGGTAACAGAAGTGCAAGGTAGGCACAAATAGAGCAGAGCAGCCAATGCCCATCCGGAGTTGAAAGCCAGGGAGACGAGCCAAGGAGAAGCAGACGCCCGGGGCTGGAGTGGAAGGCGGAGCAGGCAAAGCCGGACATGGTGCAGAAGCAGAGGCCATGGGGAGAGTCCCCAGAGACAGGCCCCCAGAGGCACAGAGCACCAACAACACCAAAGACCCTTTTTGCTGAGGCAACCTCTGAAAGGAAGAGCAGGTTCTTCTATAGCTCTTCCCTCAGGGCTTCTAGGTGGTGCTCGTAACATCTCAGGTGGCTGCGGACCCAGTTCTGCGACCACCAGGCTGCTATTCTGGACTCTGGACAGAAGAGGGAGCCCTGGTGCCGCCCAGAACCTTAAACTCCTCTTGTGAGAATCACAGGAGCTGTCCCCCATTCATCCACTGTTTGCGTCGCAGGGGAAATCAGTGAAGGGACACTAGTCCTTTAACAGCTACAGGCAGTACCAGAAGGTGTGGCGCTTCCAAGAACAACCTCTTCTGTTCTGACCATGCATCCCTGCCAGTTGCTCTTAGCCTGTGCAAGAGCTAAGAGCTGTCAGATCGGCAGCGCTGGAGCCATTGCCCATGGTCCTGAAAGTCCCAGACCAGACCCAGCTGCCTGTTGCTCCTCCCCCAAGACGTCCCCATAGCAGATGAGTGATCCTCTGGTGGGGCATAATGGCGGGATGAAAAGGGATGTGGTGTAAAGTGACAAAAAAGGAGCTTCCATACTCACTGGGCCACCAAACCCATGACCTCCAAAGGCATGGTGCCCCTAGAGCAACAGAAATTGACACAGTTGGTTTTCCTGGACATAAT